CCCCAAGAGAGTTCAAGATGGCCCAAGACGGCTCCAAGAGCGAAAAGGCGAGAAAGCAACAAACAATGATTTTACCTAGGTTTTGGAAGGATTTTGGCCTCTTGGGGGGCCCAAGAGGCGACTCGAGGCACTCTAGAGGGGCAACGCTAATTGGGGACCCCCTCTTCTTTGATCGATCTCCTCCAAGATGGCCCCAAGAGCGCCCCGAAGGCTCCCAAGAGCGCCCCAAGAGCGCCCCAAGAGCGCCCCAAGAGGCCCCAAGAGGCGCCCAAGAGGCCTCCAAAAGGCTCCCAAGAGACCTCCAAGAGGCCCAAGAGGCTCCCAAGACGGCCCAAGACGGCTCCAAGAGCGAAAAGGCGAGAAAACACAAAACATTGATTTTACCTAGGTTTTGGAAAGATTTTGGCCTCAAGAAGGGCCCAAGAAGCGATTCGAGGCACTCTAGAGGGGCAGCGCTAATTGAGGACCCCCCCTTCTTTGATAGATCTCCTCCAAGATGGCCCCAAGAGCGCCTCGAAAGCTCCCAAGAGCGCCCCAAGAGCGCCCCAAGAGAGCCCCAAGAGGCCCCAAGAGGCCCCCAAGAGGCCTCCAAGAGGCCCCCAAGAGACCCCCAAGAGGCCACAAGAGGCTCCCCGAGATACGCAAGAGGCCCCCGGGACCGCCAAGAGGCCCCAAAGACGGCCCAAGAGGCCCCCAAGCTCGCCATTGTCCTCCTCCTCCTCCTCCTCTTTTTCTTCCTCCTCCCTCCTCCCCCTCCCCCTCCTCCTCCTCCTCCTCCTCCTCCTTTCCTTTTCCTCCTTCTCGTCCTCCTCGTCCTCGCAGTCTCCATCTCCTCCTCCTTATCTTCCTCCTCCTCCTCCTCCTGCTCCTCCTCCTGCTCCTCCTCTTCCTCCTCCTACTCCGACGACGACGGCTCCTCCTACATCCTCCCCCTCTTGGGGTATATGGCGGCTCACCCCGCCCTTTGTTCTTCTGCATGCTCCCCCGCTCGCCCAAAGAGGGGCCCCAAGAGGCTCCAAGAAGCGCCCCAGAGGCTTCCAGGATGATCCCAAGAGACTCCCAAGATGCCAAAATCCATCCAAAACTTTAGAAAAATCAACGTGTTTTGCTTTCTCGCTTTTTCGCTTCCGATGGCCATCCGAGGCCTGAAGATGGCTCCAAGATGGCCCAAGAAGGCACCAAGAGAAGCCCAAGAGAGCTCCAAGACGGCCCAAGAGCGCCCAGGAGCGCTCCAATATTGCCTCAGGTGGAGTCCACGAGGCGATTCGAGGCACTCTACAGGGGCAGCGCTAATGAGCGACTCCCCTTCTTTGATTCATCCCCTCCAAGATGGCTCCAAGAGCGCTTGGAAAGCTCCCAAGAGCGCCCCAAGAGCGCCCCAAGCTCCCAAGGAACCTCAAAACTCTCTTTCCGAAGAGGCCCCCCAGCTCGCCATTGTCCTCCTCCTCCTCCTCCTCTTCCTCCTCGTCCTCCTCCTCCTCCTCCTCCTCCCCTTTGTTCTTCCTCATCCTCCTTCTCCTCCTCCTCCTCCTTCCCATCCTCCTACTCCTCCTGCCTCCCTCCTCTTCCTCCTCCTCCTCCTCCTCCTCCTCCTCCTCCTCCTCATCCTCCTCCTCTTCCTCCTCCGACCTCTTCCTCATCCTCCTCCTTTTCTTCCTCATCCTCCTCCTCCTCGTCCCTCCTCCTCCTCCTCTTCCTCCTCAGCTGCAGATTTCTCCTCCATTCCTCCTCCCTCTTTTCCTTCCTCCAATTCCTCGTCATCCTCCTCCTCCTCCTCCTGATATCCCCCTCCTCAGCTGCCGATGTCTCTTCCATCCCCTCCGGGAAACTCCAAGAGGCGCCCAAAAAGCCCCAAGAGGCCCCAAAAGGGTTTTTAAAAAAGCTCCAATATGCTCCAAGAGACTCCAAAATATTCCCACAAACCTCCTCCTCCTCCTCCTTCCTCGTCCTCGTCATCCTCCTCCTCCTCCTCCTCCTCCTCCTCTTCCTCCTCCTCCTCCCTCCCTCCTCCTTCCTCCTCCTCCTCCTTCATCCTCCTCCTCATCCTGCTCCTCATCCTCCTCCCCCTCCTCATCCGCATCAGAAATCGCCATATAACTTCTCCCCGGGCACCGACATCGCCATATAATTTTCATGTGTTCGCAGGCGCGTTCGATGGCACGCATTCACTCACAGGAGGAAGAGGCTCTGGTACGTTTTAGAAGACCTCCTGGAAAGCATTTGTAGGGGATGTCTCGTGCGAAACGCTTACTTAATCCCACCAGCCCTTTAGGGCGTAGGTGGTCTAGAGAGTTTCCTCTGCCAACCCCCCTTCTTTCCCTTCGGGGAGGGGTTTACCCCTCCCCTTACCCCTCCCCACTGACCTGGACGGGGCGTTCCGCGACGCGTTGGGACGCCCAAGATGGCCCAAGACTGCTCCAAGAGCGAAAAGGCGAGAAAACACAAAACATTGATTTTCCTTAGGTTTTGGAAGGATTTTGGCCTCTTGGGGGGGCCCAAGAGGCGCTTCGAGGCACTCTAGAGGGGCGAGGCTAATTAAGGCTCCCCCCTTCTTTGATAGATCTCCTCCAAGATGGCCCCAAGAGCGCCCCGAAGGCTCCCAAGAGCGCCCCAAGAGCGCCCCAAGAGGGCCCCAAGAGACCCCAAGAGGCCCCCAAGAAGCCTCTAAGAGGCTGCCAAGAGACCCCCAAGAGGCCCCAAGAGAGTTCAAGATGGCCCAAGACGGCTCCAAGAGCGAAAAGGCGAGAAAGCAAAAAACAATGATTTTACATAGGTTTTGGAAGGATTTTGGCCTCTTGGGGGGCCCAAGAGGCGACTCGAGGCACTCTAGAGGGGCAGCGCTAATATACGACCCTCCCTTCTTTGATCGATCTCCTCCAAGATGGCCCCAAGAGCGCCCCGAAGGCTCCCAAGAGCGCCCCAAGAGCGCCCCAAGAGCGCCCCAAGAGGGCCCCAAGAGGCCCCAAGAGCCCCCAAGAGGCTCCCAAGAGACCCCCCAAGAGGCCCCAAGATGCTCCCAAGATGGCCCAAGACGGCTCCAAGAGCGAAAAGGCGAGAAAGCAAAAAACATTGATTTTCCTTAGGTTTTGGACGGTTTTGGAATTTTGGCCTCTAGGAAGGCCCAAGAGGCGATTCGAGGCACTCTAGAGGGGCAACGCTAATAAGCAACCCCCCCTTCTTTGATAGATCTCCTCCAAGATGGCCCCAAGAGCGCCCCGAAGGCTCCCAAGAGCGCCCCAAGAGCGCCCCAAGAGGCCCCAAGAGGCCCCAAGAGGCCCCCAAGAGGCCTCCAAGAGGCCTCCAAGAGACTCCCAAAAGGCCACAAGAAGCTCCCCGAGATACGCAAGAGGCCTCCGGGACCGCCAAGAGGCCCCAAAGACGGCCCAAGAGGCCCCCAAGCTCGCCATTGTCCTCCTCCTCCTCCTCTTTTTCTCCCTCCTCCCTCCTCCCCCTCCCCCTCCTCCTCCTCCTCCTTCTCCTCCTCCTCCTCCTCCTTCTCGTCCTCCTCGTCCTCGCCCTCCTCCATCTCCTCCTCCTCATCTTCCTCCTCCTCCTCCTCCTCTCCTCCTCCCCCTCCTCCTCCTGCTCCTCCTCCTGCTCCTCGTCTTCCTCCTCCTACTCCGACGACGACGACTCCTCCTACATCCTCCCCCTCTTGGAACGTATGGCGGCTTAACCCGCTCTTTGTTCTTCTGCATGCTCCCCCGCTTCCCTCATCACCTCCACTCCTCTGGGGCTCATTTCTGGACGGGCTGGTGGGGATACGCGAAGCGTCTAGAATTATATGAAAAGTGAACCCTCACGATGACAACAACAATGTCGGCGCTGAAGGTGTGCGCGTCGTATCGTATCATTTCCGCCTCCCCGTCCCCTCCTCCCCTATTTTTCCCCTCCCTCACTCATCCTCTTCCTCCTTCTCTTTTTTCTCCTCTTCTTTCCCTGCCCCTTGACCCTTTCCTGTCTCCTCCCTCCTGTCTCATCCTGCCCCCCCTCATCCCCCCCCCCGTCCCACTTTTCCATCGGCCCCTCGCCCCCTTCTTCTCCTCCCCTTCTCCTCCTTGGACGCCGGACCCGCCCGTACCTCCAAGAAAAAGTGTCGGGCGCGCGCGCGGAGCGCCGCGCGCCGGGCGCGGCATCGCGCAGGCAGGAGGGTTTCGCGGTCAGTGGCAATGTCAAGTGGGGATGGGCTCATCAGAGTCGAAAGGTCGGTTAAGTCGAAGTTCAAGGAGTTCGGACGTTTTCGTTGTTTTTGGCCGCGTTCCAGCCTCGGGAGGTCCCCCAGCAGCTGCGATTCGCCGACGGCGTTCCCGGGGGTGCCTGTGTCGTCCCGAGCGGCCGCTGGAGAGCGGAGTGATGACCTGAATGCCATGTGGCAGTGCTAGCGGGGAGTAGGTTCAGGTGGGGATCGGCGCCACCCCAATACACTCATACTATATGTGCGTCGCGTCGTGGCGGGCGCTTCCTGGCCACACCGCTCGGGAGACGATGTGCTACAATATGGGCACACTGCATGTTTGGGTCGGACGCGCGCCTCCAAGGAAAACGTGTAGTATTAGTATGTTTTTGTACGGACGCATCGACTCCCAATCGCTCGTTCATCGCCGATAAGAGCCCGATAACCCCTCCGCCGGTGACCCCCGTTCCATCCGCGCCGCCGCCGTCGTTGCCCATGACCCGGCGAGGGCTGTTTGACCGAACATTTCCAGTCGTCTTGCTTCGCGGCGCGACCTTGTCAGGGCACGTGTCGGCGCGTCCGCTTGTTCATCCCCCACTTCCGTCGCGAGCGAAAACCATGCCCGCCTCCGCAGCCTTCTGGGCCCATGTGCCGCGAACCCGCGGATACACGGACAGTTTCTGTTGCGGATGCCCCGCGCGCAGCGCGCAGGTCGTGCGACCGCGCGTCCGCGGGAACGCGCCCTGGAATCCAGCCCGCCGGGGCGCGGATGCGGAGAGCCGTCGCTCGTGGCCCCCGGCGCGCCGCCGCGCCGCGCCCCGAGGAGGCGCTGCTGTCCGACCTGCTGCAGATCGCCGCGTGGGCGCAGCGCGCGCCCGTGGACGAGGCGCCAGAGAGCCGCCCGCCGCTCTCGCCCGCGCCTTCGGCGTCGCTCGTCGGCGTCGTTCGTGGGCGTCGCTCGTCTCCGCCGTCGTTTCCGGCCTCGCTCGGCAGCGTCGTCGGCGCCGCTCGTCGGCGTCGCTCGGCGTCGCCCGACGTCGGCGGCGCCCGTCGGCATCGCCGCTCGTCGACGGTCATCGTCGGCAGTCGGCGCTGCTCGTCGGCGTCGCCCCGTCGATCGTCCGTCGCGGGCGTCGGCTGCCGTCGTCGAGGATGCTCGACTTCTCATGGTTGCTGTCTTCTCACGTCTAAAGAATGATTATTGTTGATCCCCCCTATGGTGCACCTGTGGCGTGTCTCAAATGAAGTGCCCCTCCTGGTGCTCGCACCTTGTTTTTTTTTGTACAAGGGAAGGTCTTGCGCATCAGGCTGCGCTCCTGGCCCCCGAACTACAACAACAACAGCAGCGGCTCCCGACCAATGTTTTTTCTTCTGATGTGTTCTGTTGTTTCGCGCTCTCGCGCGGGAGCTCTTAACAATGTATACAGGAGCCGCGCTCTCACGTGAGATCCCCGTGAAAGTTTATTAGGGCGCCTCTCCCTTGTCACTTCGGAGTCACGCTCCCGCTCTGGACTTCCACACGATTTACTTGGGAATAGTGCTATCGCTTGAGACTTCCTCTCGATTCATGCAGGGCTGACACTTCAGCGACCCGCCCGTTCGACCCAGCCCTCGGGGCCCGCCCGCCCGATCCGCCCGTTCGGGTCACCCTGCCCGACCAGCCCGTCTGGTTATGCCGCTTGCGCTCCTGCTCATAACCCCCCGCTTGTCTCTCTCGTCCTCCATCCTTCTCCCTCCCCCCTGTCCCTTCCCTCCTCCCTGCATTCCCCTGTCTCAGGGGCTGCGCCAACTACACGTGGCAGGCCAGGAAGCTGTACCAACAAGGGGGGTAATTACGATAGAAGCCGAAGAGGGCGGGTATCGAGGGCTTGAACTATACAGATTGAGGGACACGCGGGCACGAGAGCAAACCGTCTTGAGGTGATTATTGCTGCGGGGACGACTAACTTCAAAGGTCCTTTTGGTGTCCTCCCGAGGCCCTTGCTGGATCCAGACGCGCTGCGGGGCAGGTCGGGGCGTCGACGTCGGCGTCGGCGTCGCCCGCGTCGGGTGCGTTGCCCGCCGTCGTCGGCGTCGCTCGTCGTCGCTCGTCATCGTCGTCGTCAATGATGTCGTGTGTTTTCTGAAGGTTTCTGTGGTCACTGGGCCTCCCAGTGCCCTCTCGATGCCACGGCCGGATCGTCCTCAATTCTGGCCAGGACGCGCCCTGGCGAGTCTGAGAGTTCGGCGTTGGCGCTAATGGCGGCGCCCGTGTTTCTTCGTCGGCGGCGGTATTGGCATCGGCGTTTGAGTCGTCGGCATGCGTCGTCGGCGACGTCATTCCTCGTGGCCGTCGTCGCTCTTCGTCGTCGTTAGCGGCGGCGTCGTCTACGTTGCTCGTGGTCGTCGGCATCGTCGTCGCTCGCCGTCGTCGCTCGTCGTTGTCGTCACGTCGTCGACGTCTTTTGATGCCGAGGTTGTGGGCGCGATTTTCTAGGTAATCGTCGCCCTTCTCCTCATCCTCCCTGGTCCCATCTCCTCCATCCCCTTCATCCTCATCCTCCCCCCCATTCTTCTCCCCATCCTCACATCATCCTTCCTCATCCTTCCTCCCTCCCCTCTCCTCCGCCCCCTCTTCCGCCGCGCGCGCGGACCCACCCCCGCCTTCCGCCACCGCCTCCTCCGCCTTTCCGACTCCGGCTCCCTTTTTCCCGACTCCGGCTTCAACAGTCGTCTCTCCGACCCCGGCTACCCCCTCCCCGACTCCGGCTCCTGTGCCGCCCATCCCGGCATAACGTGCCACGCCTCCGGCCCGCCTTCCTGCTCGGGCTCGCATCATTCCAGATTCGGGGTGAAGCTCGGTAATGCCGCGGCGTAAGCCCTCGAGGGGTCACGCCGCGACTCCATCCCACCATCCGACTCCCGCTCGCATCCGACTCCATCCCCCACTATCCGACTCTGGCTCGCCTCTGTCCGACGCCCGCTCCCACTGCCAAGCATGACCTTCGCCAACGCCGCGCCCCGACCTCGCTCTCCGGGCCACGACCCGCCCGCGCTGCCCTCGTACGGGGCCGGTCCGTCGGGGCCTCCGTGCTCCACCCGCAGAGGGTACCACACGATGGGTGGGGCACCCGGCGCCCCGGGCAGGGCGACGAGATCTATACACAGCCACCGCCGTTGACCAGGCCCATCCAGGGGCCAAGAGCGGTATGTGGGCCTCGCAGGAGCGGCTCTGCTGGACGAGTGTTCCACTGCGAGCGTTGGCAGGGACCACGGGTGTCCCTGCCTACCAGCCCTCGCGTCCTTCGGGATGCTTGACGATCTTGCCTGCTCGCTTGCCAAGCCAGGGGGCGTCCACACCGCTCCTGGGCCCATGGTGGGGCCTGGCCAGCGGCGGTGGATGTGTGCAGACCTCGTCGCCCCACCAGGGGGCGCTGGGCAGCCCGCGCCGAGAGGTCTGTCCCCACCCCGAGCAGGGCAATCGCTCGGTCGGCCGCGCCCAGAGTCAAGGGAGGCAGAACCACCCCCCACGGCCCTGGGCGTTTCCTAGACAGCCCTGCCCGGCTCGATTTCTTCAACGGGCGCGTCTGCCCAACGGCCTCGCTTGTCGGGGTGCTTATGATGAGGGTGCTTCTTCTTCTGTCCTTCACAGACTGTCCCCGACTGGAACTCTTCCGTGACGAATTTCGGGCGCAGCAGATTTACAGTCGCGCTTGGAGGGGGTCGAATTTCAGTAACGAAGCGACTGCGCGTTAGGGTCCAAGCGAGGGTTGCGAGGCCGTCGACGGCTCACTTGTTACCGGAATTTGAGACCGGAGGCCGAATTTCGGTCGCGAATTTGCCACCGAAAGATGTCGGTAACGGATAAGTTGGGAGGGTTTTTCCCTGGGTTTCCCAGGAAAGCATACCCATACATTCTCGCGTCGTGAAACAATTACCGACGAGTTTTTGTTGTGGTTGTTGTTGTTGTTGTTGTTGTTGTTGTTGTTGGACATTATTACTTCTAAAGAATAATTATTGTTGGGACCCCTGGTGCACGACCCCCCCGCCGCGCCTAGGCCGCAGCCTCATTTTCATCATTTTCGTGAGGAAGTCTCAGGCAAAACGGGTTGGTCCGGATCCGGTTGTGTTGTTGCGATCGGTTTTCCCTTGCAAAAAATAAGCTAAAGTGGACATTTCTTGTTCTAACATAACCAAACTTCAAGAATCCCTTGCAAAAAATAAGGTAAAGTGGACATTCGCGCGCGCAAGACGAAATCCTTCCAAAACCTTAGTTTTCGTAGCGATTTTAACATAAAAACATCAAAAAACCAATGGTTTTTCAAAAAAAATTGTCAAAATTTCATCCCGCGCGCTCTTGCGGATTCGTAGGAAACCCAACACTTTTTAATCATTTCTGTCAAACGGGCTTTTGCGAGCAACTTTTTCGAACTTCTGCAACAACGGTTGCGCACCTGCCAGGGCCATCATCCCTGTCAAATAATACCATGCGGGACACATTCGTTTTTTCTTCGCGCGCGCACGCCGTCGTCGTCGGCCGCGGGGCCCTGAATAGTAGCCACGGTCGTCCGCATGCCACGAAGTGAAGTGTCCGAACGTCATAGGGCGGGAAGCTGGGTGTGGGTGGTGGCGAAGAGTCGTTTGGAAATTTGGTAGAGCTTGAACCGGCCCCCCCACAAAGTGGGGGTATTGCCCGCCTCCTATGAAAACCCTGGCACTGGTGAGAACGGAGTGTCCCCACGTGCTAGTAATTGTTGTTGTTGTTGTTGTTGAATATTATTACTTCTAAAGAAATATTATTGTTGAGACCCCTGGTGCGCGACCCCCCTCCAAAACCTAGGCCGCAGCCTCATTTCCTTCATTTTCTAGCGAAAGCTTCAGAAAAGTGGATTGTCACCGGATCCGGTTGTTTTGTTGTAATCCGTTTTCCCTTGCAAAAAACACTATAAAATGAAAATTCTTGTTCTTACTTGATCAAATTGCAAGAATCCCTTGCAAAAAATAAGGTAAAGTGGACATTCGTGCGCGCAAGACGAAATCCTTCCAAAACCTTAGGTTTCGTAACGATTTTAACATAAAAACATCAAAAACCCAATGGTTTTTTAAGAAAAAATTGTCAAAATGTCCTTCCGCGCGCGCTGTCCGAATCCCACAAAACCAATGGTTTTTCAACATTTATGTTACATGAGCTCGCGCGAGCTACTTTTTCTTGTTCTAACATAATCAAATTTCAATAATCCCTTGCAAAAAATAAGGTAAAGTGGACATTCGCGCGCGCAAGACGAAATCCTTCCAGAACCTTAGGTTTCGTAACGATTTCAACATAAAAACATCAAAAACCCAATGGTTTTTCAAAAAAAAATGTCCAAATTTCATCCCGCGCGCGCTGTCCGACTCCCACAAAACCAATGGTTTTTCAACATTTATGTTACATGAGCTCGCGCGAGCTACTTTTTCTTGTTCTAACATAATCAAATTTCAATACTCCCTTGCAAAAAAAAGTAAAGTGGACATTCGCGCGCGCAAGACCAACAAAAAACACGACGATCTCAGGAACTTGCCCCAAAAATGTGACCAACTCCGCTCTCTCTGTCTCTCTCTCTGTCTGCTCTCTGTCTCTCTCTCTGTCTGTCTGTGTCATGTATTGTATGTCACAATTGCAGGATGCTGGGCACACGCGCGCCCCGAATAAGTGACCAAGTTCTGTGGGTGTGTACCCCACGCCAGTGTAGTAGCCACGGTCGTCCGCACGCCACGAAGTGAAGTGTCCCAACGTCATAGGGCGGGAAGCTGGGTTTGGGTGGTCGCGAAGAGTCGTTTGGATATTTGGTAGAGCTTGAACTGCCCCCCCACGAAGTGGGGGTATTGTCTCGCGTCGCATGAAAACCCTGGCACTGGTGAGAACAC